TTTCATAGTTAAGCATTTCTCTAGTAGGTTGTTATTTTTGTTTACTTTGCTTTTGGCTAGTCTTTAGATATAAAACTTTAAAAATTAGGAACTTACTTTGGCTAAGAGTTCCAAAAGTCAAAGTTCTGTTTTTTATAGAATGATAGGCACCAATGAAAACAGAAAAGATGCTGAGAAATGACATGCCACATACAAAAATTAAACAACTTGTTTAGATTTATAAACTAGCATGTTGGCTTCTGTTGGCATTTAGCACCTATCATCTGTTATGCAAAATGAGCTCTCCTTTATCCACTTTGCTGGAAAAGACCTTTCCCAAATTCTTGTACAGGGAAATTTCATAAGATATAAAGAAATGACTACTGTATTAAGTACTGAAGCAGATGGAAAGCAAAACGTGTTAAAACACTGACTATAATGCCATCATCTATTTAAATGGTCTCCTTTTCCGCTCTCCCCACCCCATCTCATTGCTCAAGCCCTTTATGGACATGCATGTTCCTTCTCCTTCCCTCTCGCAGTTCCTGTCTTTTAAATGCATGCTTATGTCCAGTGGAGAGACACCTTGAAGACCAGATGGCCAAATTATTTCGTACAGGGTTATGACTCAGTTGTTATCATATTTCCTTTTAATTTTAATTTCTTCCTTGGCCATGTGAAGGACCCTTCTTATAAAGTTTTAGTGGTCAAGAAAATTGATTCTTCAATATTATGCTTAGAGGAGTGGCAGGAAGGGGAAGACAATAATTACCTGTTTGGGCAAGAAGTAATCTGGTCTTTGGAATGATTCATATGGTTGTAAGTCTGCAAAATAACTGATGCCAAGATAACTATTCGAGTACAGTAACTATAGGAAAATCGGTGGCCCATCATTCATTCTTTTCACTCTATTGGTTGCTGTCATCTCTTGCTAATATGAATTTTAGGTTCTGATAATGTAGACACTTTCTCTGACTAGCTTTTTCTAAATCATCTTTGCATTAATTTCAGCTAATAATAATCTAAGAATTTCATAAAAAAAATTGTTAAGTGAATGACTCAATCCATTGGCTATAATCTCAAATACTTAAAAAAACTTTTATTACTTGCAGAGTATAATATTATCATAACGAATTGTTTTTCATTTGAACAGCATGAAATACTTGACAAGACACTTTTATGTATATTGTCTTTTCGTGAGCTCTCAACCAGTCTGTTAATGTCCAACAGACATTAATCAGATACCTAGTATGTGAAAAATATATACAGCAGGTCTTCAATTGACATCCTTTTGTTATAACTTTGATGAGATTCTTAATTTAACTCTTGTTTTTGTCAATTAGCCTGTGATAAACTAGTTTCATTATACACTAGAGGCCCAGTGCACAAATTCAATCATGGT